CCTCACCGGCACTAAAAGTTTTAATAAACCTATGACCCCCATATTAATAAAAGGGAGATTAAATCCTCCCGCATGCCCCTACTCGGCTGCTCACTGTCATTTAAAGCTACTAGTGACTGGGCAGCTAATGCCATGGTGGGGAACACAAATAACTAAAATGGTGGGGGACATAGTGTCCCCAAGCCCCTAGTCACTCCCCTCCCCTCCTCCAATAGAAATACCCTACCTACTCCCCTCACCGTAATAATAATAAGGGGGGGGGGGCAATAAACTAACAATGTAAAATAACATTTCATACTTACTATTTGATGTCTTTTATTTTCTTTCAGCCACAAAAAATGCCAAATAAAATGCCATCATACCTGTCGCAGCTGTTAATATAATCCTTCTTCACCCATGGAGGGCACCACACAGAATGAGCTCCAAGTGTGGGAAGAGGCTTCCCGCTGTGACATCCAGATGGCCAGACATGGTCACCTCAGAAGGGCCCAACAGGGGCTTTGAACCTGGGAACTTTGCAGCCCTGTGTCTGCATTCTACCTTTGAGCCACAGCAGCTGTATTAAATTTGATCTATTTTAGTCCTGTTCATCCTGGCTTGTCTGCAGCACTGGGGGCTGGACCTTGACAATTGCTGTGCTTCACCTGACGCTGATCTGACATCAGCCGGGTATATAAACACAGCTTTGCTCTGCAAACGTTATCAAGTCTTTGGTCCTGTTGTGTGTTCACTACCTGTGTTTCAGTCTCTTCATCTTCATATTGACCCTGGCTTCTGACTTTGTTAACCCTGACCTCTGGCATCCCTTAACTTTGCCTACTCTTCATTGATCCTGACCTCTGGCATCCCTTAACTTTGGCTACTCTTCATTGATCCTGACCTCTTGCATCCTCTGACTTCGGCTATCACTTGACTATCCTTCTGTTTGTGTCCTTGATGTACTGCGACTTGGAGCTTTATCCTGCACAGACTCACAGTCCAGGTGGTTTATCTGGTCACTTTGGACTGTGTCTATCTGCAAGGGTGAGCAACATCTGCATTACAGACTCCCAACTCAGGTAAGATCCTGACACCCACACCCTGCAATTTGACTTGGAGCACTCTGGTTGGTTTAAGCCAACATATCTGAGTGCTCTGACAGGTAAATGAAGAGACTGACAGGTAGGGCTTGAAATCCACCAATCAGAGTGCTCTGTGTCATTTTACACTGCGTGGCAAAGTTCCTTGGAATTTTCCCACGCTGTGTAATTTGACTCATAACACGCTGATTGGTTGCTTTTTAGCTATTGCTGCCCAGTCACTAGTAGTTTTAATTGTAAATTATATAGAAGTGTTAGCGCTACGGTAAGAGTACGTGTAAAAAGTAGCTATTTAGATTGCAACATTGTTATCGTTTGTACTATAACTATTGGTTACATGTACTCTTACTATAGCTCTCTATCACGTCTATGTAAGACACTGATTTTTTTTTTTTTTAAATGACAGCCACTGACTGCTCACTGTTTAGGTGACATGCCCCTATTTGTGGCATGTGGGAGGAATTAACCTCCCTTTTATTAAAAGTGACCCCCCATAGGTTTAATGCAGGAGTGGGGGTGTAATTAATTACAAGGATGAAGCTGGTAGCGCTGCCTTTTTTTTTTTTGTGCAGTGCTGTTTTTTTTTGTGTCCTAGTAGCCGAAAACAAATTATTTTTTTGAAACAAATTTCGTTTAAAAATGAATGGTTTACGGACGAAATTCGGGATTGATGAATGACATTTTTTATTTACTACGAAATCATTTGTATGAAAATTTCACTGGTGCACATGTCTACTATGAATGCCCCGGTCACAGACAGCAAGAGCCAAGTGACAAATAGTCAAACTAACACCAGGGCAGTGGGAGTTAGAAATGACCGTGTTTGGCCAACAACTGCCAGTCAGCTAAAAAACAAGGACCAAAACATATGGGGGCCAATATAACCCTTATATATTTACCTGAAGGACATACTCTCTTTCCCTTATATTCTGTCCGTCATTTAACAATTGCCCACCCATTCAGGGTTCATATTTGTGTGCGAATGAAGGCCATGTGTTTATATTAAGTGTGTGTGAATACAGAGGTGTATTTGTGTGCACTGCGTGGAAGAAGTTCATGATTTTATATGCAGTGTGTGTGTGGCTAAAGAGGTGTATTTGTGTGTGTGAGAAGTTCATGACTTTATATGGGGTGTGTGTGAATAGAGAGGTGTATTTGTGTGTAGTGTTGGCATTTACATGTATGGCTGGATATGTATGCAGTGTGGATGTTTGAATTCTGACACACAGAGAAACACACGTCGGCACCTAGGCACAGGGGCGTATTAGCCGCGAGGCAAACAAGGCATTTGCCTTGGGCGGCATTTTTCAGGGGGCGGCAAAAAACGCCGCCCCCCAAATGCCCAGGGCAAATGCCTAGTTAGCCTTGCGGCTAACTGACATCCCGAGCGGGCGGCTGGCGAGGGAGCACTTTCCCCTGAGCTGTCTGCTCAGCTCCCTTGCGTGCCGCCCGCAGAGTGAGGCTGGGAGCCGGAATATGACGTCATCTTCCGGCTCCCAGCCTCACTCTGCAGTCGGCGCGTGAGGGAGCTGAGCAGAGTGCTCCCTCGCCAGCCGCCCACCTGCCAGCGCCGCCCGCCCACCCTGCAGCCACTGGACCACCGGGGAGAGAGTGTTTGTGTCTGACTGTGTTTGTGAGTGTCTGACTGTGTGAGTGTGTGTGTGTGTCTCTGACTGTGTGTATGTGTCTGACTGTGTATGTGTGTGTATGTGTGTGTATGTGTGTGTGTGTGTGTGTGTATGTGTCTGACTGTGTGTGTGTGTGTGTGTATTTAGAAGGTGGGGCGGGGGGAAAGGTTGGGTGTGGGTGGCGCGGGGGGAGGGGGGCGCCTGAGTTTTGTCCTGCCTAGGGCAGCACAAAACCAAGATACACCACTGCCTAGGCATACATACATACTGCCATGCACAGATGAACGCAAGCACATGCACAGACTCAAATAAACACACACAAGTATGTACTCACTGCCTCACACACATGCACAGATATTCAGTGACAAGCACATAGATGCAGACACGGATACACACAATGAAACAAACAAAGAAAATCAATATATAACCACCTTCCTGTTACTATGCCTCTAGGGTGGCTTTCCTTGGGTCCCGTGGCAGCTGGCTGGGGTGGTCCAAGCTGTTCACTCCCACACATGGCTGTGTCGGAAGGAATTAAAAAAAATTTGTAACAAGCGGAGATGTAATTGATCAGCCTATCAGTCAGCGGCTCAGTTAAACTATTAAAGGTCCGCGGTGCTCAACTGTTCCTCATCACAAAATGGACTCTATGTATGAGGACCACCTGAAGGGCCCCCTCAAGGCTGTTTTCTTCTGTCCATGATGTCCGCAGTTTGCCTTCTGTGGGATTCTTTTGACTGATGGATTGTGGGTAAGTTACTGAAATGGAACTCTGCTTAAGTTCTGCCCATTGCCAAATATCATGCTCCTCAGCATAAACTAGCGCCTACTTATGTATAGCTTAAAAACTAAGGTGAATTTCAAAAACATGAAACTAAAGAGGAAAAAGATTAGTTTCAAAACAAATCTTGGATGGTGACAGAGCCTCGAACTAGGCATTGCTGAGAACGTACGTAACTTTCTCACAGTGAAGTGTCAGCCCCCTGTCTGAGATGTCCAATTGAAGCTTTGGCTCACTGCCTAAATGAGCTCCTCCTGACACCATAACAACTTCGTAGGAATGCATTTGTCATGGTGCCGGAGTGTTTTATTATTCTTCATCTTAAAAACTTGTCCTCACATGTTTAGCTCGCTAGATGACATGACCGTATAAAAGAATGGAGAAAGCCGGAACTTTGCTCCATGTCTGGAATAACAGTGTGGGTATCAGAGATTCTAAAACAGCCTGGGAGCCAGGGTTTCTATCATAACACATAAACTGTTTTAATTCAAAGAAGAACAGCGTTAGAGGAATGCCATGGAACTCCTTCAGGATCACTGACACTGGGAACAGTAAGAACCAGAAATATTGTCCACCTCTGCATCATTCACTCCAGCTCCACACCACAAAGGGGGTGACATTACCTAATGGATCCCACGCACTCAATATGAAAGATCACACGGCATTCTAAATGGAATTTTATGGATAACCCTGCGGGAAAAACGTGGTGATAAACTTCTTTAGATATTCCACATGGAATCAATGGAGAATAATCTACATGTGAGCACAGCCAGCAATTTAGATGAATTATTAAACATTTCCAAATAAAATACAGGAGACCAATAATCCAAAACCAAAAATATAAAACCCACAAAAACGAAAAAAGAATAAAAAAAACTCTAACTAAAGGTGCAGTCAATAGGAAAAGCCACCAGAGGGCGCCAGTGAACAAAATGGTAAAAACTCGTACATCGGTGGTTAAATTACATAGATGTTACATTCTCTGCTTCCAAAGAGAGAGGGCACAGAGTGAGTAGCACAGAGTGAGTGGTGCAGAGTTCCAAAGGGATGGGGCACAGAGTGAGTAGCACAGAGTGAGTGGTGCAGAGTTCCAAAGGGATGGGGCACAGAGTGAGTAGCACAGAGTGAGTGGCGCAGAGTTCCAAAGGGATGGGGCGCAGAGTGAGTGGCGCAGAGTTCCAAAGGGATGGGGCACAGAGTGAGTAGCACAGAGTGAGTGGTGCAGAGTTCCAAAGGGATGGGGCACAGAGTGAGTAGCGCAGAGTGAGTGGCGCAGAGTTCCAAAGGGATGGGGCGCAGAGTTCCAAAGGGATGGGGCACAGAGTGAGTGGCGCAGAGTTCCAAAGGGATGGGGCGAGAGTTCCAAAGGGATGGGGCACAGAGTGAGTGGCGAGTTTGGGGCCAAAGGGATGGGGCACAGAGTGAGGGCGAGTTCCAAAGGGATGGGGCACAGAGTGAGTAGCTTAGAGAGTTCCAAAGGGATGGGGCACAGAGTGAGTGGCGCAGAGTTCCAAAGGGATGGGGCACAGAGTGAGTAGCGCAGAGTGAGTGGCGCAGAGTTCCAAAGGGATGGGGCACAGAGTGAGTGGCGCAGAGTTCCAAAGGGATGGGGCACAGAGTGAGTGGCGCAGAGTTCCAAAGGGATGGGGCGCAGAGTTCCAAAGGGATGGGGCACAGAGTGAGTGGCGCAGAGTTCCAAAGGGATGGGGCGCAGAGTTCCAAAGGGATGGGGCGCAGAGTTCCAAAGGGATGGGGCGCAGAGTGAGTGGCACAAGTGAGTGAATCTCGCCAAGAAAAAAAGAAATAGAAATACTTAATTTGATTCCCAGGGAAACCCCAAAAATTGCAGAGCGCAGTAAGTAGACTCTCCCCTCTCTCCTCCCTTTGGGCCATGCATTATTAGAGCATAGTATGATGGGAGCCAGGACATGGACAATCTCCTGGGAACCTTCATGGCTGAAGGTATGCCCAGTGTTTTGACCTGGTTTCTAAATCATTTGCACCCTGAAAGGTTGAGGAGACCCTCAGTCTTCTCGGCCCCTCAGGGTTAATTCCATACAAATTAACCCTTTAATGAGAGGAGAACTATTTGGCAATATATTGTAAATAACCTAACCTAGCAGTGGTTCCCAAGCTTTTTTTTTTTTTCAATTGAGAACATCTTCCCACTTCCATAAATTGTACCCCTCATATTAGCGAAATGTTTGTAATTAATATAGTTGCTGTCATTTAAAATGGTTTTTTTTCTTTGACTCAGGCTCTCCTTTTCTACCTCTGTGCCATGCTTGCCCTGCTTCTCCTCTGCCCCAGGCTCGCCTTGTTTCACTTCTGCCCCAGACTCCCCTGCTTCTCCTTTGCCCCACTACTGCACTTACTGTACCTCCCTCTACTGTAATGTAACCTGTAACGTGCTGAGTACACCTGTTAGCGCTATATAAATATAATATACACACACTGTATACCTACTGAACTTACTATACCTCCCTCTACTGTAAAGTGCTGAGTACACCTGTTAGCGCTATATAAATATAATCTACATACACTGTATACCTACTGCACTTACTGTACCTCTCTCCATGATAATATATATATATATCTATAGCTGATGTAATACAGGTAGTTTCAGTTGCCCAGGTGTGTTAAAGGTAACATAGGTAACTGTTACAACGAGCAGAAGATTCCTGTTTTCAGGTAACATAAGGAGATGTGTATAAAGAACACTTTTTGGGATAAAATAATAAAAGCCATCAGCAGATATACAGAATTTGTTTCCTTATCTCCTTTTTAACACCTAGCCCCAGACGTGATATTTGTTCCTTGTTACATCTAATTAATAATAAGATTTGAATATTTTACCTGTTTCACAGGGAGCTTTGCTGGATCGGTCCGACCAGGAGAACATCTGCTGATAATTACACGTGTTCCTTGTGTATGTGGCTGTAATTGTGGCCCTGGGGATCGAACATTATTATGGCAGCCAGTAAAAACGTTCCACGCTCGGCACCTCTCTGTCAATGGAGTGTGATCACAGTGACAATCCATCCATCGCTTCCTTCACTGCACTCAGTGTCTGATAGTAATAATTAAGTGTTCTCGCATAGCAAGACCACTTATTGTTATCTCACATATATATTATTATTATTCTTATTATAGCCAAATTTGCCACCCTAACTCCTCCCACAGTTTTTACACTACATAGACAAAAATTTACCAAAACGTGCAGATTGTTCCCGATCGGATTGCTATTACTTTGTGGAACGTTTCGCCGAATGGTTCACGGAATATCGTCGTTCTTGTGGCGAAATTTGTCCCATAGGAATGAATGGCAAAGCTAGAGTGGGAGCTGGCAAAAGCTGAAAAATCAGGACATGATTTCTAAACTGCCACCACTCCCTTATTTTCAGGCCCACCTACACAAATCTTATATCAAAACGTTCAGCTATCCCTGCTGCCACTAAACATGTCAACGGCTAAGCCATAGTCCTGATAGTTTTCACAATATGACCATTTGTTTGCAACCAACGCCGTCCATTGACATTCATTGAAACTTCACTCTGCAAAGCTCAAATTTGAAGTGCAATTTATAAACTGCGACTGTGCCTTCAATTTTAATACTTCAGAGACATACTATGCATCAAAATGTAGGTCTGGGTCTTGTGATTCTCACAATATAAAGCTCTTCACTGTAGGAGTTATAGTTTTTAAAATATGACCGTTTGAAGATGGCAACCGCTAAAATACTCTGAGCAATTTTAAGCTTGTATTACATATTTATTGTTGGGTGATGTTTCATCCTTAATAAAGCCGCTTCATTTATTTTTCTCACAACCCTGGGAGTCCTGTTTTTTCATCTATTTTCCTGGAGCAACTGAAGGAGGATAATAGCCCCCCACTACTATCGGGGGAGGCACCATAGAGCGATATATTTCATCTAATCTTGTGAGTGCATTTCATGAATACTTACTTACTATTTGATACAGATTTACACTATGTATATCTATATTTTTCAATTTTAGATTTCTCAGCCGTATCCCAAATATTTCTGGTTGGTTTATATTTTGCTGTGTAAAGGTCATTCATTCTGGGTGATGACCTGGGAGGCTGTTTCACTTGAATATTAAGATAAGTATATTTTTTCACTTATATGTACTATTCACTAAGTGGTGATATTTGAGTATACATATATTTTTTCTGTCCTTACCAAAATACTCTAACCTGTCAAGGCTGCAGCAGCAAGTGATGTCATAGACAGGGCCTTTTGAACACCTGCTAATGTTTTTATAAATGTATGGTTTAATGTAACTGTGCAACAACGTTGCAATTAAATGTGCTATATAAATAAATAAAAGTTGAAATGCATTTCTCACTCTATCAAGCTTGCCATGTGCACTTTTTAAATTTGATCAATCAATTGGTTAGTGTAATGTTTACTATCTTTACTCACTCCAAACACTCCACACAGTTACTCTGCCCACTCCATAAAGTTACTGTGGCCACTCCAACCTTTCCACAGTTACTGTGGCCACTCCAACCACACAGCAGTTACTCCAGCCACTCCAGTTGTAGACAACTGGTGGAGGCAAGAACACTTCACCCAATTTCCCCTGAAATTGTAGCTTTTCTACTTCTATTTATTATGAGAGGCTAAGGCTTTACAAGCCAAACTTTGGGGGTTAGCTGAACATGGATATGGTTACACATAGATACAGAGATACCCATGTTATACATGCTTTTTGTCAGTGTAACGACATCACATGCACATGGGTAAAGAACTTAATGTTCCCTTTCACTAATGATCCCCACAACTCCTATAACACACACTCACTGCAGCTCCCCACACCTCCTATAACTCACACTACCTGAGCAGCACTCACTGCAGCTCCCCACACCTCCTATAACCCACACTGCCTGAGCAGCACGCTCACTGCAGCTCCCCACACCTCCTATAACACACACTCACTGCAGCTCCCCACACCTCCTATAACCCACACTACCTGAGCAGCACACTCACTGCAGCTCCCCACACCTCCTATAACCACACTACCTGAGCAGCACACTCACTGCAGCTCCCCACACCTCCTATAACCCACACTACCTGAGCAGCACGCTCACTGCAGCTCCCCACACCTCCTATAACCCACACTACCTGAGCAGCACACTCACTGCAGCTCCCCACACACACCTCATAACACACACTACCTGAGCAGCACGCTCACTGCAGCTCCCCACACCTCCTATAACCCACACTACCTGAGCAGCACACTCACTGCAGCTCCCCACACCTCCTATAACCCACACTACCTGAGCAGCACGCTCACTGCAGCTCCCCACACCTCCTATAACCCACACTACCTGAGCAGCCCGCTCACTGCAGCTCCCCACACCTCCTATAACATACACTACCTGAGCAGCACGCTCACTGCAGCTCCACACACCTCCTATAACCCACACTACCTGAGCAGCATGCTCACTGCAGCTCCCCACACCTCCTATAACCCACACTACCTGAGCAGCACGCTCACTGCAGCTCCACACACCTCCTATAACCCACACTACCTGAGCAGCACGCTCACTGCAGCTCCCCACACCTTCTATAGCCCACATTACCTGAGCAGCACGCTCACTGCAGCTCCCCACACCTTCTATAGCCCACATTACCTGAGCAGCACGCTCACTGCAGCTCCACACACTACCTGAGCAGCACGCTCACTGCAGCTCCACACACCTCCTATAACACACACTCACTGCAGCTCCTCACACCTCCTGTAACCCACACTACCTGAGCAGCACGCTCACTGCAGCTCCACACACTACCTGAGCAGCCCGCTCACTGCAGCTCCCCACACCTCCTATAACACACACTACCTGAGCAGCCCACTCACTGCAGCTCCACACACCTCCTATAACCCACACTACCTGAGCAGCACACTCACTGCAGCTCCACACACCTCCTATAACCCACACTACCTGAGTAGCACACTAGGTGGCACAAGAGTTAATTATGTGGCGGCCGGGGCTGCACTTGCTAACCAGCTGCCACATTCAAGACAGTCTATAGGGCTCAATAAGACCCCATTTTACTGTAAGAGGGATTTTAAACCTACCATGACTTGATATGCCATGTGGCAGGTAGGGTCATGTCTACTAAGATGTCAAAACTACCAACTGGGCAGCCATTGTCTGTGAAATAATGGGGGGGGGGGGGTTGTATCAGTATGAGCACTCTGATTGGCTGGCTAGTAAGCCAATCTTTTCCCCATGTTGTGTGATAGCTGACATGGCGTGGCAATGCCTGTATAAAAACTTTTCCGAATATTTAGAGTCTGCGCAGAGCCCTCCATGGATTCATTTTATCGTGGCACACTTTTTGCAAATCAGATTTTATTTTATTTTCATTAGTTGTGATGGGAATTCTAGATTAACATTTGGCCGTTGTGAAGTTGAAGAACAGAAAAATTAGAAGAAAAAATACTTCTAAAGGTTATTATATATTGATACATGTAGCAGACTTATTGCTCCCCCTTACTCTTATTAAGATGTGGGTTAGGTAGCGACATTGATTGGCGACCCATATCCCAGCTGGGGTAGATTGTAATCTGTCTACGCCCATTACTTATTAAAAGGATGGGGCCTTTACCAGTGATTGGACAGTAATGGCTGCCCAGTCTCTAATTTTAAACACATATGCTAGTCACCAAAACAAATTTAGCTTAATGAAGCAGTTTTGGTGTATAGAACATGCCCCTGCAGCCTCACTGCTCAATTCTTTGCCATTTAGGAGTTAAATCCCGTTTATACAGCTTTAGTCACACCTTCCTGCATGTGACTTGCACTGCCTTCCTAAACACTTCCTGTAAAGTGAGATCTAATGTTTACACTTCGTTTATTGCAAATTCTGCTTAATTTAGAATTTCTTAATTCCTGCTCTGTTAATAGCTTGCTAGACCCTGCAGAAGTTTTAAAGTAAGTTACATCTGATTGAAAATTAAACCATTTTGTTTTTATGCAGGCTGTGTCAGTCACAGCCAGGGGAGGTGTGGCTAGGACTGCATAAACAGAAACAAAGTGATTTCACTCCTAAATAGATGAGAATTGAGCAGTGAGACTGGGACATGATCGATACACTAAAACTGCTTCATTAAGATAAACTTGTTTTGGTGACTATAGCATCCCTTTAACATGTTAGTAGACATGCCCCCGCCTACTGCATGGAGAGTAGGGCCATAGGGAGATTTTAAATCTTGCAGGCTTTTCATTTATTTATCTTACTCTGTTAACGCGAGGGCTTGTAGTGGTCAGTAGGCAGGCACCTGGCAAGACCCAGGTAAATGATCAAACTGTTCTTAAATTGGCTGCAGTGGTTATGGTGCCTGGAGTGTTCCTTTAAATGTATCAATTACAAGGAAATGAGGAAGAAAGGAAGACACTCAAACGCTGGTCTTTGAAATATTATGTTTGTCCAATAAAAAAGGTTATCATTGCATACTGCAACACTCTGGGATTTTGGCATGTTGTCTACTGGACTAATAAAGTTAATCCAATCTACAATCTATAATATACTGTATGATGTCCTATTAGTCTGAACTAAAAGTATATTTCTATTAATATTTCTATTGAGGTTTTTTTTTTAGTATGTGCATCCTCCTTCGTTACTTTTGTGTTGTAATATTAGTTTCTTTGTTACAATAGTGTTCTCATTTCACCATAACCACTACAGCGTGCTATAAAATGCACACTGTATGATTCTATATCTTACTATATAGCAGAATGGATATTTCCGGATAGAGATATAATATTGTTTTAAGCTGGAAACAAAAACTTGCTATTGGTTTTCAATCTCCATCCTGATTGAATGGAGAGCCTTCTCAGTGAGTTAAATAATCCTTTTCTAAAACCTGTAGCAAACGCGACTGTTTACAAACATGATAACTTAGGACAAATAAAATAATATCTGGAAACATTATCAGCATTGCGTTTATTTAAATGAAGTATATAGCAAATCAGATTGGATAATAGTTAATTGATTGTGCATAATACATATAGAAATATCATGGTATATAGATAGATAGATATAGACTTCCTCGCTGCCACGGAGCCTGGGAACGGTTTTTACTTTCTTTAGATTTAGCCTTCCTTGTCCTGGGTAATTCCTACAATCTCGATAATATCCAGAAAATATGAATTCCTACAATCTCGATAATATCCAGAAAATATGAATTCCTACAATCTCGATAATATCCAGAAAATATGAATTCCTACAATCTCGATAATATCCAGAAAATATGAATTCCTACAATCTCGATAATATCCAGAAAATATGAATTCCTACAATCTCGATAATATCCAGAAAATATGAATTCCTACAATCTCCGTGTCCTGATAATCGATTCCTACAATCTCCAATGTCCTGGATAATATCGATCTCTGAGTAATATTGATTCCTACAATCTCCAATGTCCTGATAATATTGATTCCTATAATCTCCAATGTCTTGATAATATCGATCTCTGAGTAATAACGATTCCTACAATCTCCAATGTCCTGATAATATTGATTGCTATAATCTCCAATGTCCTGATAATATCGATCTCTGAGTAATATCGATTCCTACAATTTTAATCATACCCTGATAACATTAATTCCTACAACCTCGATAATATCCTGATATTAATTCCTACAATCTCCATGTCCTGGATTATCTGTTCCAACAATCTCCGTGTCCTCCAGCTGAATGACCTAACAATTATTTCACGTCTTTATGCTGGAGAATTTCTGATGCCTCTAGACTAATCTCTACCCACAAGCTTTAAAAATGTCTCTAATAATCTCAAGTAGAGATTGTAGCCGTATTAGTCCAGTGATGTAGATGTGTAAAAAAATAAAAAAAAGATAAAATTTGTATCTTGTAATACCTTTTTTTATTGGACTAACAGAATTTTTTAATGACAAGCTTTCGGGAGAACCTCTCCAAGTCTAAAGCATTTCTGAGCAAAGACGACACATAGAATTCAAATTTGAGTTGTGATACAGGGGCTAAAGTGACATGAGTGCAGATAAGACACAGGTCTGATAGAAAATAGACACCATTCTCGCAGAGGGTTGTAATCAAACCTGTGCCTTATCTGCACTCATGTCACTTTAGCCCCTGTATCACAACTCACATTTGAATTCTATGTGTCGTCTTTGCTCAGAAATGCTTTAGACTTGGAGAGGTTCTCCCGAAAGCTTGTCATTAAAAAATTCTGTTAGGCCAATAAAAAAGGTATTACAAGATACAAATTTTATCTGGTTTTTACATCCAATAATCTCAATATTCCAGTAACACACAATTTCACCTGCCTTAATCCCATTTTATAAAACCTTAAACCACAGCAATACTCAAGCCATGCATATGGAATTGATATAATCCTACATAACTAAAGCAATAATTAAAAGGAAACTATTATATAGATTAAAAAAAGCATTAAACACACAGTAAAACTCTGAGCTCTAAATGTCTCCTTTCGCATTGGTTTTTATGGATTTTCTTCCTCTGCAATTGAAGTGTTTGAGATATTTCAGCCAGTTCTGGGTCTGTGAATCTTATTGGAGGAATAACTAGGCATGTCGCTGTATGACATCACAACGTACGCTCGCTCGGTAATTCCACCTAAACATTAATGGTCTCTGTGTGCGTGCAGCAGGCAAGATCAAACAGGAGCTCGTTACATATCAATAATAAATGGAAATCGCTGCTGGAAGTATTTCATTGAATTTTTACTTTTAATTTTCTAATTAGGGGGCTGTTGGGGTGTGCCAGTAAGGATTATTACAACCATATACGGTGTTTTACTGACACTTTTTGGTTGGAAAAACACTTTAATTATAATAAAGAACAGATCTGGCGTCAATCTGCCATTGCTACTCCCAGTAAGGTATCGCTATGCAACGAGGTCTACTGCGACTCACAGGGTCATTTCAAGGTGAGTTCTAAGTGAAATTTAAGGTAAAATTAGCTGAAAACTAAGTCAGCTATTGCATTGCAGCTACTTTCACCGAAATTCTCCCTGACTTCTGACTTTGGTAAATAACTATTAATGAAAGCGTTTTACCTATCCAGAGGGATGCCTTCCAGGAATTGAGCTGTGACATTCTCTGTCCAAACAGCTTGTTTTGGAGGATTCTGTGGATATTTTTAAATGGCAATATTGATTTTTTTTGAGGGGGCAGAATATTTTATCATATAATTAATATGTACGGGAGCAGTTTACCGATCGCCGATATGGAGTCAAGAAGGAATGTCTCTCCCTTTTTGTGGCATAAATGGTAATCTCGTTAAATTGTTTTGTTTTTTACTTTTGGACCAACAAGATAAAAATATACATTTAAAGGTTGACCACAAAGCGGGACTATTTACTAAACTGAGAATTCTAAGTGAATTTCAACAAATTTAAAGTCAGAGTAGCTGAGATAAAACACTTAAAAACCATGAATAACACCAAGTATTTATATCTTCACAGAATGTGAGAAAGGGATTCATGTTAATAAAGTAGCCGGCTCACATTCGGTCTTCTCCTGTTTAATTCCACCTGCCCCCAGTTAGATTGCGCTTATAACAAAATGCTTCTATTAAGGCATTACAAGTGAAATTCATTCTGTCGCTGGGACATTACAAATCATCTGTGATTTTAACGGTCTCTTTTCCATCTGAAACACAAACAGACAAGACAGTATATTATTTATTTATTAAAAGATCAATTGCTGGATCCGTAGAAACTATGGAACTAACACACCAGTGGGACGCCCAAGGAGAGTCCAAGTGCTTAACCCATGTGAATGACATATTGAGAATAGAAAATCGCAGTCTCACTCTGAGTGGGAGAGTACTGGAAACCCCAAAGAATATCCAGTAGTAGATGTGTACCAGACCTGCCCTATAGTGAATTCATCAAAAATAGTAGCTCAATAAAATCTATACCTTATCCCGTCAACAATCCCTAAACCATGTGATGAGCTAGATACCATGTAGGTAGGTGCCCTTTACAAAGAGGCTTTACTCCCCCAGAAACCTTGTGTTTCTATATTAAAACTAGTGACGTAGAGTTACAATCTTCCTCATCTCACAACAAACCAAATCCACCATTCACCCCTTAGGGCACTGTCAGTGGGGGTCAGGGGGTGATTGTCCATCCAGGTCACCAATGTCAAATCTGTATTCACCCAGGGATTCCAAATATTATGATAAATCTCAAGATTGGCGTGGTTATTATATACCGCTTTCTCCATCATATGTTGATAATTCACCTGCATTTGTATCTCCGTCCAGCATGGAGTTATAGATGTTTTCCCGGGTCTAGCAATGCAAATCTTTGTCGCCGTTAAGATCTGTATCACCAGCATGAGGATGTATTTGTTACCGTTAGTGAGATCTAAGGAGAGATCCTAAATGTAGCACCCATAACCTTGCCGATTGCTTACCTGGATCCCTTTTATATGTTTACTCTATCTGGTATAGTCTACAGATACTTTAGTTGCTTATATTTCCATAAACAACTACATTGTATCAGGGACTCCGGTAATATACAGGGAGTGCAGAATTATTAGGCAAGTTGTATTTTTGAGGATTAATTTTATTATTGAACAGCAACCATGTTCTCAATGAACCCAAAAAACTCATTAATATCAAAGCTGAATATTTTTGGAAGTAGTTTTTAGTTTGTTTTTAGTTATAGCTATGTTAGGGAGATATCTGTGTGTGCAGGTGACTATTACTGTGCATAATTATTAGGCAACTTAACAAAACACAAATATATACCCATTTCAATTATTTATTATTACCAGTGAAACCAATATAACATCTCAACATTCACAAAATATACATTTCTGACATTCAAAAACAAAAACAAATCAGTGACCAATATAGCCACCTTTCTTTGCAAGGACACTCAAAAGCCTGCCATCCATGAATTCTGTCAGTGTTTTGATCTGTTCACCATCAACATTGCGTGCAGCAGCAACCACAGCCTCCCAGACACTGTTCAGAGAGGGTGTACTGTTTTCCCTCCTTGTAAATCTCACATTTGATGATGGACCACAGGTTCTCAATGGGGTTCAGATCAGGTGAACAAGGAGGCCATGTCATTAGATTTTCTTCTTTTATACCCTTTCTTGCCAGCCCGCGCGGCTGGCAAGGTATAGGGCGCGTAATGATGGAGCATTGTCCTGCATGGGAAATGTATTTTCTTGAAGGATGCAGACTTCTTCCTGTACCCTGCTTGAAGAAGGTGTCTTCAGGAACTGGCAGTAGGACTGGGAGTTGAGCTTGACTCCATCCTCAGCGAAAGGCCCCATAAGCTCATCTTTGATGATACCAGCCCAAACCAGTACTCCACCTCCACCTTGCTGGCGTCTGAGTCGGACTGGAGCTCTCTGCCCTTTACCAGTCCAGCCACGGGCCCATCCATCTGGCCCATCAAGACTCACTCTCATTTCATCAGTCCATAAAACCTTAGAAAAATCAGTCTTGAGATATTTCTTGGCCCAGTCTTGACGTTTCAGCTTGTGTGTCTTGTTCAGAGGTGGTCGTCTTTCAGCCTTTCTTACCTTGGCCATGTCTCTGAGTATTGCACACCTTGTGCTTTTGGGCACTCCAGTGATGTTGCAGCTCTGAAATATGGCCAAACTGGTGGCAAGTGGCATCGTGGCAGCTGCACGCGTGACTTTTCTCAGTTCATGGGCAGTTATTTTGCGCCTTGGTTTTTCCACACGCTTCTTGCGACCCTGTTGACTATTTTGAATGAAACGCTTGATTGTTCGATGATCCCGCTTCAGAAGCTTTGCAATTTTAAGAGTGCTGCATCCCTCTGCAAGATATCTCACTGTTTTTGACTTTTCTGAGCCTGTCAAGTCCTTCTTTTTGACCCATTTTGCCAAAGGAAAGGAAGTTGCCTAATAATTATGCACACCTGATATAGGGTGTTGATGTCATTAGACCACACCCCTTCTCATTACAGAGATGCACATCACCTAATATGCTTAATTGGTAGTAGGCTTTCGAGCCTATACAGCTTGAGTAAGACAACATGCATAAAGAGGATGATGTGGTCAAAATACTCATTTACTTACAATTCTGCACTCCTGTACTGATATTCCAAGTAGAGGGTCTTTCTGTGCTATTCAAGAGACAGGTGGATAAACTCCCGATTCTCATTTCTCCCCATGACATACAGATTGTATGATTTGTAAGTAGCGTTGGTCTGAGGGAGTAAAAAGAGGCACCTACATGGTATCTAGCTCATCACATGGTTTTGGGGATTGGTATTTGACAGAGGATAAGGTATAGGTTTTATTGAGCTACTATTATTTTTGATGAGTTTGCTATTAGTAGTTCTCTTGGAAAGATTGTTTTGGTACACATCTACTAACCAAAAATCAAAACAATCTCTTTTTACTGTCAATAGGTAGAATACTCGGGGAACACAGCAGCTCACACTGGAGAGGGCAATTAACCAAACCCCCCAATATCTTTTACACTAAAGGGATACGGACATTACAATGTAACTGCTGTCTGTAGAATACTCAGGGAACACAGCAGCTCACACTGGAGGGGGCAATTAACCAAACCCCCAATATCTTTTACACTAAAGGGATACGGACATTACAATGTAACTGCTGTCTGTAGAATACTCCGGGAACACAGCAGCTCACACTGGAGGGGGCAATTAACCAAACCCCCCCCAATATCTTTTACACTAAAGGGATACGGACATTACAATGTAACAGCTGTCTGTAGAATACTCAGGGAACAAAGCAGCTCACACTGGAGGGGGCAATTAACCAAACCCCCCAATATCTTTTACACTAAAGGGATACGGACATTACAATGTAACTGCTGTCTGTAGAATACTCAGGGAACACAGCAGCTCACACTGGAGGAGGCAATTAACCAATTCCCCTCCGCCAATATCTTTTGCACTAAAGGGATACGGACAGTACAATGTAACTTCTGTCTGTAGAATACTCAGCGAACAGCAGCTCACAATGGAGGGGGCAATTAACCAAAAAAAAAACCAATATCTTTTACACTAAAGGGATACGGACATTACAATGTAACTGCTGTCTGTAGAATACTCAGGGAACACAGCAGCTCACACTGGAGGAGGCAATTAACCAATTCCCCTCCGCCAATATCTTTTGCACTAAAGGGATACGGACAGTACAATGTAACTTCTGTCTGTAGAATACTCAGCGAACAGCAGCTCACAATGGAGGGGGCAATTAACCAAAAAAAAAACCAATATCTTTTACACTAAAGGGATACGGACATTACAATGTAACTGCTGTCTGTAGAATACTCAGGGAACACAGCAGCTCACACTGGAGGAGGCAATTAACCAATTCCCCTCCGCCAATATCTTTTGCACTAAAGGGATACGGACAGTACAATGTAACTTCTGTCTGTAGAATACTCAGCGAACAGCAGCTCACAATGGAGGGGGCAATTAACCAAAAAAAAAACCAATATCTTTTACACTAAAGGGATACGGACATTACAATGTAACTGCTGTCTGTAGAATACTCCGGGAACACAGCAGCTCACACTGGAGGGGGCAATTAACCAAACCCCCCCAATATCTTTTACACTAAAGGGATACGGACATTACAATGTAACTGCTGTCTGTAGAATACTCAGGGAACACAGCAGCTCACACAGGAGGGGGCAATTAACCAAACCCCCCAATATCTTTTACACTAAAGGGATACGGACATTACAATGTAACTGCTGTCTGTAGAATACTCAGGGAACCCAGCAGCTCACACTGGAGGGGGCTATTAACCAACCCCCGCCCCCCCCAATATCTTTTACACTAAAGGGATACGGACATTACAATGTAACTGCGGTCTGTAGAATACTCAGGGAACACAGCAGCTCACCAAACCCCCCAATATCTTTTACAATAAAACAGTGGTTCCCAACATTTTTCTTTTTTTACTCGTGTACCCCTCATATTGGCAAAATGTTTGTAATTAATATAGTTGCTGTTATTTCAAATGTATAAGTTTTTCCTGCCCCTTCTCCTCTGCCCCAGGCTCTCCCTGCTTCTCCCCTTCCCCGGCTCTTCCTGCTTCTCTCCTGCCCTACGCTGGACATAGTTCTCTTCTGCCCTGGGCTCTGATGCTCCTCCTCTGGCCCAGGCACCTCTGTCACCCCTTATTCTCTTCTGCCCCAGACATATTGGTATATACAGTGCAGATACACAGATGCATACACTGACACACATGTTGATACACAGATGCATACACTGACACACATGTTGATACACAGATGCATACACAGACAAATATAAAGATACAGACACACAGGTACAAACACTGACACAGAGAAACAGTGTTTGTATCTGTGTGCCAGTATCTATGTTTGTCAGTCTTTGTATCTGTATATTAACATGTGTATCTGTATGTTTGTGAGTGTTTGTACCTGTGTATCAGCATTTGTGTCAGTGTGAACGTATCAGTGTGTCTGTGTAACTGTATTTGTGTCATTGTTTGTATCTGTGTGTCTGCATGTTTGCCAGTGTGTATCTGTGTTTGTGTCTCTGCATGAGTGTCAGTCTGTATTTGTGTATCTAGATGTGTGTCAGCGTTTTCTTCTGTGTGTCTGTGTGTGTTTGCTTCTATGTGTGTGTATCTGCTTGTGTGTCAGTGTGTTGTCTGTATCTGCATGTGTGTCAGTATGTGTATCATTGTATTTAGATGTGTGTTATTGTTTGCAACTGTTTGTTTGTATATCTCCATGTTTGTCAGTGTTTGTATCTGCATGTGTGACATTCTTCCTCTGAATACTTCACCAAGACTCCCGCTGTACCCAGGGCAGACAGCTCAAGCCTGTATCAGTATATTGGCATTATACCATGCCATACTTTAATTTGCAGAGAAAGCCCAGACCTCTGTCTGTATGCTGGCATTAACCCTGCAAGCCATATGTGAGTACTGATACCACAGCTACGTTCTGATACATTTTACAATGCATATTATACATTGCTTTTACTTGGTTCCTTATTCCCTCTCCTTAATATCTGGACTGAGAACTGGAGATCTGAGACTGCTGGTCCATAAACACACTTTACCTGACAACACAGCTCGGGTAGATCGATTCAGCCTCCCTTCCATGACACGGCAGAAATAGTGAACATTTGTCTGCACATCGATGTCCAACACTGACTCCACCAAAAGGTTCCCGTCAGAAAGTTTGGTCACTGTAGGAAGCTTTGCATTTTTGGTTAAATCTTCCCCATTTCCATCCTGCCACTCAACACGGGGTTCTTTAAACAATCCACTGGAGGAACATTGCAGCTGTGTTTTGCCATTGGAAACTCGTGATACAACAAGTGGATCATCGGCATGTAATCCTTAATAGAAACGGTAAACAACGTGTAAAGATAAGGAGGTGATGGATGTGCTGTAATACAGAGCAGACATGGATACCCACAATCCAACAGGACAGAAAGTAACACTCAATGAGAGAGCACTCCTACTCAGTTCTACTTAGTCACACATTTTCCTTTCATTAGTTAATCCTCCTGCAGATCAGTAATTGCAATAAATATGTAGGCAGCTCCAAAGAAGAAAGCCCTTCACCTACGAATCCAGAGCAAGTCAGCAATCCCATCATGGATTCATAGAAAAAATACCCAAGTGAACATTTACTGAGGTTTATATTTAATAAATCGTAAGGTAGGTAGAAAGGAGACCACCATAAATAGCATTATATAATAAATAGAGAAACACAAGAAAAAAGAAAATGGCGGCCTAGAAGAGTAAATATTATAACAATCTTTATTGAATTTTATATGATTATTAAATCCGTGAATAATATAAAAGGCACCAATGTGTAATAACACCCTAATTAAATGGACGTAAAACGATCCTTTCATAAACACGTTGTTTAGCGTAATCCTTAATGGCAGAGAAATCAAGGTTTGCAGTTTCTACATAAAACAAATACTCAGTATGTCAATAACACTGTGTGAAATTAGTGTCCGTTTATATCAGAACCGGACATAGAAGGCTCAGGATAATGGTAGAAAGTAACAGCAGGGAGAGGCAATGAGAGGCGATAGCCCCTAATAATCTGTCACACGTCGTGCCGCCAAGGGCGCCTGTACCAGACTACACATCCCAATCATGCTACAATAATCTGGGTAAAAACATTCCTGGCTACAAAAAGGAAGAAACGGCCAGTCCATCCAGGTCCCACAGTACTGCAATCACTCCATGTGCTACGAGACAAGCCGTGTGGGCAAAGTGACAGAAACAGCCGCAGAATCGTACCCCCAATGATCGGGTCACTGGTCAGCCCCCCTTGAAGAGCTGCCTGACCAGCGAAATGATGGTTTCTACAGATTATTAGAAGCCATATCTCTCCTCTCATTGCCTATCCCTGCTGTCATTTAATACCATATAATTTCCTTTTTAGGTTCTGATACACTGTCAGAGTTATTCACTAAAGCCCAATCGGCACCGAACCCATTCGGTCATTTTCTCCTAATTTTGTCCATCCTGACAGACATGTGGTGTTTATTGAGTAAGCTAATACTGCCAGTAGCATTACACCAAAGACGTGTTTATGGCAGGATAGGTTTATTGCCATTCGATTAGTGTGTTATTGATTACATTGGAACCTTTTTAGAATCCCCGATGTAATAATCATACGTTTTTGAAGGTTCTGTTTTAATATTTACTCTTCCCTTTTTATTGTGTGATTCTATTTTCTGAAGTTTTGACATAAAATGTATTTCTGGGTGTTCAACTTGCATCTCTCCTCCTGCTAAGAACAATAACCGTGCCGGCACATCTATACAAATGAGAGAGTCCAACTTACTGTCAATAGATATTCTGAATACCATCTCTCCACGCCCCTTTTTATTAGCTGCTGCACAGGTGTAGAATCCTTCATCAGCAAAGCCCACGTCATTCAGGGTCAGTTTCAGGGTGCCCCTGGCCAAGTCAGGAGACATCTCAGTGCGTCCTCTGAACTGAATATCTTGATCTTTTAAATTGTCTTGCCCATTTTTATAGCAGTGAACCAGTTTGTCATTTTTCCTATTTGAGGAGCTACTATGGGTACAAGAGACGAACAGGTCCTCTAGACCAGAGACAAAGTTGAATGTACACGGCAGAGTCACCGATCCATACAGGTGTGTGTTCACTCCCACTGCAATATCTACCGGGGAAAATAACAACCTCACAGATTAAAACTGATAATAACTCACCTATCTGTGATCACCAAAATGTTATTTGTCAGATCAGAATCAGTAAAAAGCAAAACTCTACGATAACGAAACATTAGGAGAGATTTTCTGCAAACGTCTGGATCAATTTATTAGATGCAACGGCTTTATGAACATTTCCACCTCTTTTTTTTTCCCATCAGAAAAGTGGAATTGGCAGTTTTTCAAACAGAAAGTTATGTGAAAACTGGTGAAATTTTAATTTCTAAATCAATTTAATAAATGCGACCAAAATAATGTAAGAATTGAATCGCCACTTTTCAGGAAACTTTGATAAATGAGGATCCAATTATTCCTTACATTGCTAGAACCCGCAAATATCGGGCATTCTCTACTGTGAACCACCGACCCCGAGGGATCAGCGGCAGCCACCAAGCGCGCATCCAGGAGAACCAGTTTGTACGGTCAGCTGCTCTCAATGACTGATATTAGAATCGATACATTCACTGGATATGAAGTGAAAATGGAAGCTTGCTCGGCAATTCATTTTGAATAAGTGGAGCTTTTACAAAGATTTCTGGTGATTTCTTTGGATTTCCCAGAAGGCTCACACTGGGGTTTATTCACTAAACACAGAACATACCCCATGATTTATCTTTCTGCTTTAAATTCAATAAAATTTGTGAATAAGCCCCTTAGACCTCCTTGGGGAGACGCAGTTAAAGGGGGTGTCTTACCTTCAGATTTAAAGCCAGGAATAAACAGCAAAAGAAAAAGTATTTGAATCTGAAAATAGAAATGATTTCCCATTAGTATGAATCCACAATATTATTTAATTACAGTCTTTAAAGAAACACTATCGCATTAGGAATACGAACTATATAGTGCTCCCAATGGCCTTTGAGACGATATAGATTGCCTTTAAAACATTATAGCAGCCCACGGATGGAAATTAACCCCATCATGGCACACCATTTGTAAAAGTAGACAACCCACGGTATTTAAAATGGGGTATGTCCAGGCTTTTTTAGTAGCCACTTGGTGTGTGTGTGTGGAGGTGTCTGTGCCTGTCATGGTGTATGTATGTGTATGTGTGTGTGGCGGTGTCTGTGCCTGTCATGGTGTATGTATGTGTATGTGTGAGTGGAGGTGTCTGTGCCTGTCATGGTGTATGTATGTGTGTGTGGCGGTGTCTGTGCCTGTCATGGTGTATGTATGTGTATGTGTGTGTGGCGGTGTCTGTGCCTGTCATGGTGTATGTATGTGTGTGTGGAGGTGTCTGTGCCTGTCATGGTGTATGTATGTGTATGTGTGTGTGGCGGTGTCTGTGCCTGTCATGGTGTATGTATGTGTATGTGTGTGTGGAGGTGTCTGTGCCTGTCATGGTGTATGTATGTGTATGTGTGTGTGGCGGTGTCTGTGCCTGTCATGGTGTATGTATGTGTATGTGTGTGTGGAGGTGTCTGTGCCTGTCATGGTGTATGTATGTGTATGTGTGTGTGGAGGTGTCTGTGCCTGTCATGGTGTATGTATGTGTATGTGTGTGTGTGGCGGTGTCTGTGCCTGTCATGGTGTATGTATGTGTATGTGTGTGGAGGTGTCTGTGCCTGTCATGGTGTATGTATGTGTATGTGTGTGTGGCGGTGTCTGTGCCTGTGATGGTGTATGTATGTGTATGTGTGTGTGGCGGTGTCTGTGCCTGTGATGGTGTATGTATGTGTATGTGTGTGTGGCGGTGTCTGTGCCTGTGATGGTGTATGTATGTGTATGTGTGTGTGGCGGTGTCTGTGCCTGTCATGGTGTATGTATGTGTATGTGTGTGTGGCGGTGTCTGTGCCTGTCATGGTGTATGTATGTGTATGTGTGTGTGGAGGTGTCTGTGCCTGTCAAGCTGATCCTTGCCTCCTATCATCCCTTCTGAACTAGATATGTACCAGTGAAATTTGAGTTTCATCCGAATCATTTCGTAGTAAATAAAAATTTAATTTGTCAATTCCAAATTTCATCCACAAACCATTTGTTTTCGAACAAAATTTGTTTAAAAATAATTAGTTTTTGTCCATTGGGACGAAAACAGCACTGCGCATGCTCAAAAAAAATTTTTTTACTCACCTTTTTTTTTCCCCACGCCGTGCTGGTCTCCCCTCGACTGGCCCTGCCTCTATGGCTGAGATCAAGCTTGATGATCTCAGCCAATCCAATGCTCTGCCATAGGATTGGTTGCAAAGGCCCTGGATGTAGGTGCAGGACACAGGAAGCACCGCTAGTGACTGAGTGACTGTCACTAGAAAGCAATGTAAACACTGTCATTTCTTGGAAAAGTCAGTGTTTACATTGAAAAGCCTGCAGGGATAGTCTATAGACACCAGAACCACTACATTAAGCTGTGTCTGTGAGCTTGCGTGTGTGTGTGCGCCTGCTAGTGAGTGAGCTTGTGTGTGTGAGAGAGAGAGTGAGAGAGAGAGTGAGAGAGACCAAACAGAGCCATAATCACCATCACTGTCACCATCAAATCTCAGATCCAACAACAATTCATTACCTTCTCCCCGGAAACTTACCGCTGTAGGACTTACCTGGAACAAACGCTCCATTGCACTGACAGACGAGTTTGTTCCTCAGTTGTCTGCGTAAAGGAGAGAAATGAAAATGAAACGAACTCTGGGGACAGACATTTGGTTTCTGTTTGTTTGAAACATTAAGTCACATTCACCCTTATCTAGGAGGTAGACGGAGGGTCTCACAGGTAATGACTAACACGGTGGGAGGTAGACGGAGGGTCTCACAGGTAATGACTAACACGGTGGGAGGTAGACGGAGGGTCTCACAGGTAATGACTAACATGGTGGGAGGTAGACGGAGGGTCTCACAGGTAATGACTAACAAGGTGGGAGGTGGACGGAGGGTCTCACAGGTAATGACTAACAAGGTGGGAGGTAGACGGAGGGTCTCACAGGTAATGACTAACAAGGTGGGAGGTAGATGGAGGGTCTCCACAGGTAATGACTAACAAGGTGGGAGGTAGACTGAGGGTCTCACAGGTAATGACTAAGAAGGTGGGAGGTAGATGGAGGGTCTCACAGGTAATGACTAACAAGGTGGGAGGTAGACGGAGGGTCTCACAGGTAATTACTAACAAGGTGGGAGGTAGACGGAGGGTCTCACAGGTAATTACTAACAAGGTGGGATGAAACGAACTCTGTGGACAGACATTTGATTTCTGTTTGTTTGAAACTGAGGGTCTCACGGGTAAGTATTATTGCTGTGGAGCTCTGTTATACACGCAGACACATTACTGGGAGTATTATTGCTGTGGAGCTCTGTTAAATACTCAGACACATTACTGGGAGTATTATTGCTGTGGAGCTCTGTTATACGCTCAGACACATTACTGGGAGTATTATTGCTGTGGAGCTCTGTTATACACTCAGACATATTACAAGGTAGACGGAGGGTCTCACAGGAAATGGGTAGCAAGGTGTGAGGTAGACTGGGGGTCTCACAGGTAATGGGTAGCAAGGTGTGAGGTAGACTGGGGGTCTCACAGGTAATGGGTAGCAAGGTGTGAGGTAGACTGGGGGTCTCACAGGTAATGGGTAGCAAGGTGTGAGGTAGACTGAGGGTCTCACAGGAAATTACTAACAAAGTGGGTGGTAAACAGAGGATTTTGCAGGGTAATGACAAACAAGGAGTGTTAGACTGAGGGTATCGGGACCTCGGGCTCCCACGCTGCGTCTCCCTCTCACTACACGAGGATGCAATGTCAGAGCTATTCCCCCAGGCAGCATGGTCAACTCAACCATGCTGCCCGCTCACGTTCATGCGACACGACACCTCTGTTCGCACAAACACCACTTCCCAGACACAGATAGCAGAACTCCATGGGTACGAACACCACCACTGTTCGTGCCAATGCTACACACTAATTCACTGTTCATACTGAGTTGATATGATTTGGATTTCACTGAATATAAGTCAATACGGACAACAGCTCATGAACACAGCAAGAACAGAAGTCTGTTCACAAGAATGTTGCTGCTTCCACATACGACCACACAGAATGAAGCATTTCAGGAGAATCAAAGGGTGCGCCGACACAGAGCCCTTTAAAGGTACAGGAGGTGGAGACCAGGATGGAACCTTAATTAACAAGACTACCTACTTTCCCTATTTAAGTCGCACACACCCTTCAGTCAGTAAAAACCATCAGAGCTGATCCTTGCCTCCTATCATCCCTTCTGAACTAGATATGTACCAGTGAAATTTGAGTTTCATCCGAATCATTTCGTAGTAAATAAAAATTTAATTTGTCAATTCCAAATTTCATCCACAAACCATTTGTTTTCGAACAAAATTTGTTTAAAAATAATTAGTTTTTGTCCATTGGGATGAAAACAGCACTGCGCATGCTCAAAAAAAAAAAAAAAAAGCAAGGAGGGTGCTGGCAGTGCTACCAGCTCCCTCCTTGTAATAAAAATTATTCCTGCCCCCCCATCCTCCACATTAAAACCTGTAGGGTTCACTATGACCCCAATATTAATAATCGGGAAGTTGAATCCTCCTGTATGGTATGCTGCGAGTAGGGGCATGTCACCTAAACAGTGGCTGCTCGCTGTCATTTAAAACTACTGCTCTTCATATTGAAAGCACCCAATCCGAGAGTTTTGAGTCAAATTACACAGCGTGGGAAAATTTCAAATAACATGTAAAATGACACAGGGCACTCTGATTGGTTGGGTTTCAAGCCAGCCAATCAGAGTGCTATGACAGATAAATGAAGATACTCGCCTATCAGTCTCTTCATTTACCTGTCAGAGCACTCTGGTTGGCTTAAACCAACCAATCAGAGTGCTCTAAGTCAAATATAAGCCGTTATAAACCTTTCCCCGCCCTGCTGAGCTCATTCTGCGCCATGCCCTCCATGGATGAAGATGGATTATTTTTTTTACCGTCTGGATTTTTTTTTTCTCAGCACTTTGCCCCCCCTCCCCTTTTAGTTATATTTTGTACCCCACCATGGGGGAACAGGGTGTGCCAGGTCCCCCCCTTATTGCACTAGTGACTGAGCAGCAATAGTAAGGGCATGCAGGAGGATTTAACTTTCCTTTTATTAATATGAGGGTCATAGTGACCCCCCATAGGTTCTAATGCAGGGAGTGGGAGGGATAGGAATAGTTATTTATTACAAGGAGGGAGCTGGTAACGCTGCTGGATACCTCCTTGTTTTTTTTATTTCACGGTGCTGTAGGGGTTAATTTCCCCTGCAACACGGAGTCTATTAAATGACTAAAATTTAAAAGGTAATGCAATCGGCAATATGAAAAAACCTGAATTTTCGGACTAAATCGTATTCATAAGAAAACAAATGCACATGTCTATTCTGAACCTGTGCCGCCTCTCCTGACCTTTGCCTTCCCTAACTACTCTCTCTGTCTGATCCTTTAGTACTGCAAACTTGGTCCATTACCTTCAGTATCTATCTGCATCTTGGGCTCCATCCACTAACTTGACAGAGGGTGTAACAGGTAAGGGCTAACAAGGTGTGAGGTAGACGGAGGGTCTCACAGGTAATGACTAACAAGGTGGGAGGTAGACTGAGGGTCTCCACAGGCAAGGGCTAACAAGGTGGGAGGTAGACTGAGGGTCTCACAGGTAAGGGCTAACAAGGTGGGAGGTAGACTGAGGTTCTCACAGGTAATGACTAACAAGGTGGGATGTAGACTGAGGGTTTCCACAGGTAATGACTAACAAGGTGGGGGGTAGACTGAGGGTCTCCACAGGTAATGACTAACAAGCTGGGAGGTAGACTGAGGGTCTCCACAAGGTGGAGGTAGACTGAGGGTCTCCACAGGTAATGACTAACAAGCTGGGAGGTAGACTGAGGGTCTCCACAGGTAATGACTAACAAGGTGGGAGGTAGACTGAGGGTCTCCACTGGTAATTACTAACCAGGTGAGGGGGGTAGACTGAGGGTCTCACAGGTAAGGGCTAACAAGGTGGGGGGTAGACTGAGGGTCTCCACAGGTAAGGGCTAACACGGTGGGAGGTAGACTGAGGGTCTCCACAGATAAGGGCTAACACGGTGGGAGGTAGACTGCGGGTCTCCACAGGTAAGGGCTAACACGGTGGGAGGTAGACTGCGGGTCTCCACAGGTAAGGGCTAACACGGTGGGAGGAAGACTGAGGGTCTCCACAGGTAAGGGCTAACACGGTGGGAGGTAGACTGAAGGTCTCCACAGGTAAGGGCTAACACGGTGGGAGGTAGACTGAGGGTCTCCACAGGTAAGGGCTAACACGGTAGGAGGTAGACTGAGGGTCTCCACAGGTAATGACTAACAAGGTGAGAGGTAGACTGAGGGTCTCCACAGGTAATGACTAACAAGGTGGGAGGTAGACTGAGAGTCTCACAGGTAAGGGCTAACAAGCTGGGAGGTAGACTGAGGGTCTCACAGGTAAGGGCTAACAAGGTGGGAGGTAGACTGAGGGTCTCACAGGTAAGGGCTAACAAGGTAGGAGGTAGACTGAGGGTCTCACAGGTAAGGGCTAACAAGGTAGGAGGTAGACTGAGGGTCTACACAGGTAATGACTAACAAGGTGGGAGGTAGACTGAGGGTCTACACAGGTAATGACTAACAAGGTGGGAGGTAGACTGAGGGTCTCACAGGTAATGACTAACAAGGTGGGGGGTAGACTGAGGGTCTCCACAGGTAATGACTAACAAGCTGGGAGGTAGACTGAGGGTCTCCACAGGTAATGACTAACAAGGTGGGAGGTAGACTGAGGGTCTCCACAGGTAATGACTAACAAGGTGGGGGGTAGACTGAGGGTCTCCACAGGTAAGGACTAACAAGGTGGGAGGTAGACTGAGGGTCTCCACAGGTAATGACTAACAAGGTGGGAGGTAGACTGAGGGTCTCCACAGGTAATGACTAACAAGGTGGGGGGTAGACTGAGGGTCTCCACAGGTAATGACTAACAAGGTGGGGGGTAGACTGAGGGTCTCCACAGGTAAGGGCTTACAAGGTGGGAGGTAGACTGAGGGTCTCCACAGGTAATGACTAACAAAGTGGGAGGTAGACTGAGGGTCTCCACAGGTAATGACTAACAAGGTGGGAGGTAGACTGAGGGTCTCCACAGGTAATGACTAGCAAGGTGGGAGGTAGACTGAGGGTCTCCACAGGTAATGACTAACAAGGTGGGGGGTAGACTGAGGGTCTCACAGGTAAGGGCTAACAAGGTGGGAGGTAGACTGAGGGTCTCCACAGGTAATGACTAACAAGGTGGGAGGTAGACTGAGGGTCTCACAGGTAATGACTAACCAGGTGGGAGGTAGACTGAGGGTCTCACAGGTAAGGGCTAACAAGGTGGGAGGTAGATTGAGGTTTGATAATCTGCCAGCACGCTGATAAAATATAGGTATTTGACACTTGAGAGTAATGTGTGTGTGTGTGTGTGTGTGTGTATATATATATATATGTATATATATATATATATATATATATATATATATACATACATACAAGTATAGTGGCACTCACCCTTTCAATGAATCAGTAAAAAAATGCCTTGGTTCAATCCCACGCTGGATATGTAA